TCAGAATCAAAGACCAGATAAAGAGCTTCACAAATAAAAAAAGCTAAAGGAGTTCATCACCACCAAACCAGAATTATATGAATTGCTGAAGGGAGTTCTTTAGGAAGAGGAAGAAGATAAAGATTAAAATTATGAACAACAAATACGTAACTACCAACAAGTGAAACCAAAAACCAAGGGAATTAAAAAAATCTGGTGAACAATATTAACTGGTGAATAAAATAGAATCAGAGGTATGGAAGGGGAGTGGAATGACGATTCTTGCGGAAAAGGGGAGTGGGGAGTGTGGGAAGAGACTGAACATAAACTGTGCACCTATGGATGAGGACATGGGGGGTGGAGAAAGGGCAGAGGGTAGGGTGAGAACCTGGTGGAGGGGAGCAATGGAGGGGGGGGAAAGAGGAACATTTGTAATAATATAAACAATAAAGATTTATTAAAAGAAGAAGAAGAAGAAGAAGAAGAAGAAGAAGAAGAAGAAGAAGAATTGTTCTAAATGATTTACAACAAAGACTGGATTCAAACTAAACATCATGAACAAGCAACTGATTAACCAAACTCTGAGGAAGTCATAAAACAAGCACCAGGCAGCCATTAAAAATAAGTGCAAGTGGTCTACGATGCATCGCCCAATAGTTAGAAGCAGGTTTTAGAGGAGTTTGTATAATCTGATTGTCCTCTTCTTGGGATGAGCATACAGGTATGGCTTGTACTCACTGGGAAAAGTCCAGGAGGACATACATTTACATTTTGATGACTGTAAGGATTAATGCGGGTTTTTATTTTATTAAATGTACCTTTCCAATAGAATAGAAAATGTTACAATAAGTAGTTTTCCTTTAAAAATCAGAGAGAAAGGAAATGTTTCCATTTTATAAAATGAAACAGAACTAAAAAAAAGTTCATGAACATTTTAAAAACAAAGTAACATTTTGTGTAATTGGGACCATCTTTCCAGTATAGAATGACAAATGTAATTATTACTTGCCATCATTAAATTTAACAAAGAAAGGAAAACAGTTTTAACAAAGGCAGAGTTTTGATATTAGTGGTCACCACATGGTCTATGGTCTCAATTGGGTAGTGACAGATAAACACTGAAATCATCACACTGGAATAGACCTCAGTGACTGATTAACTTCTAAATTCAATTTTTAATTGGTTTCCCTTCTTATCCCCTTTAAATCTAATTGGCAGTTGGATCTCACACAGGTTCCTGAAGATTGACTATGGTCAAAATGGGAGGTGACTTAGGAAAACCCTCAAAAACCATTTTTTTTTCCAGCTTATACCAGGCCAACTCAACACAACCAGTCTTAAAAGCTTCTGGGAAAAGGAAGCAGAATCTGATATGTGCTAGAACCAATCAGAAGGTAAGAGTTGAGAAGGAAGGACTAGGAGAAGTAGGGTCAGAAGAATTTGCCCACAGTGTTTAATAAATATAACTTAATGGGCTGAATTTTGAGATTGCATTGAGAGAAATTACCTTGTCAAATAAATGAGGGAAGGGTGAACTATATAGCAAATTGTGTTGGGATAAATGATTAACTATTTGGGGAAGGTATAGTGAGATCAAAACCTCGTAAATCAAAATAAATAATATATGAATTAAGTATTTAAAATAAATACTTCACAAAATAAATAAAATGTAAAAACTGCTAAGATATATTTTTCACTTATATTTAAAATATTTGTTGTAAAAATGTGAATTATGAATTGTGAAAATATAGGTAACATCATGACAAAAGACTGGTATTCTAACTTTAAATAGAATTTCTACAAATCAATGAGAAATGTTGGAGAACTCAACAAAAACACGGGACAGGCCCAGTGGGCTGCGGGCTCCCTCCCCGCCCAGGCTGGGGCACATGCGTCTCTCATCACTCTCTCAAAGTGTCTCTCTCACATCAATGTCTCTTTCTCTCTCCCCCTCTCTCTCTTTCCCTCCTTCCTTCCCTTTCACTCTCTCTGAAAAGTAATGGAAAAAAATTGTTTAAAAAGTGGGAGAAGGTTATAAACACACATTTCACAAAAGTAGAAATATGGCTACTAAACATAAAAAGAATTTTCAACTTCACTGTAACCAAAGAAAGGAGCATTAAATATGATGTGATATATCATTTTGGACCTACAATATTGACAAAAATGTGTACTTTCTAAAGAATTATTTGTCGATATACACAAAAAACTATTTAAATCTCATTTTGGAGAATTTATCCTCAAGAAAATTAGAGCAAAGATTTATGTACAAATGTACTCATCACAGCAGTGCTTAAATATTGGGAAACAGATTACTTATCCAAAAAAGAGACTTAGTAAGAAATATATTTATTACCTTGAATAACAAGTTTCTGAAAATCTACACTAATAAAAGGGTAATATGCAAATTGACCATGCCTTCACAATGCCTACCAGCCAATCAGGAGTGTGTATGCAAATTAGCTCAGCAAAGATGGTGGGTTAATTGACATACACAGGTGCCGAGCAGCTGGGGGTGGGGTGGGATGCTTGCATTGTCACCTTCCACATTCCCCCAGCTGCTCCAGGCCTCTAGGCAGTGTGGGAAGGTGGAAAGGAGGCTCCAAATGGAGCAAAGATGGTACAGGCAGCACCAGGGGAAGGAAGGCCCACTCTTGTACAAATCTTCGTGCACCAGGCCTCTAGTTAAATTATAAAAGAATATATAGTCGCACAGAAAAATTGTCATTATATAGTGAGGGTTAAAAAAAATGATACTACCAAAAATGTCTACTTAGATATCATTTTGTGTGTGAGTATAAATATACACACATTTATATAATATCTATACATGTATATACACTATGTATATAAAACATGCAACTTTTAATAGCATGACATTATACAACATTTTTCTTTTATAATTTTTGTGCATATATATGATTTATTTTCTAGGTTCAGCTTAAGTTACATTTGTCATAAATAAAGACCAGCAGAATAATAAGAGCAAGATAAAGTTTTAAGCTACAAAGGAGAGAGACAGAGATGGAGGGAAAAGGAGAAGAAGGGAGGGCAGATGGGAGGGAGAGAGGAAGGGAGGGAGGGAGGGAGAGAGGGAGGGAGGGAGAGAGATAGAGGACCTAGGCATTGCTGTTGTCATTTAAGTTGGACCTCAGAGGGAGCAAGGGCCTCCACATTGGGAAGGAGCTGCCCCTGTGGTTTGGAGCAGAGGGGGGCACTGCGTTGAGAACATTGGGAGGTTGAGAGGGGGAGCTGGCAGGGTGCTATGATCGGAGACGGCTGATTGACAGGTGGGGCAGGGTGTCATCAGCAGAGGACTGGGAACTTCCTCAATCAGTGCTCAGCTTGAACCTCTGTCCACAGCCTCCAGTTCTTCTAACTTGTCCTGAAGTGCTCCCCCTTCAGTGAAGGTGCCGGCACTCCCAAGATGAAGCCAGAACCTGGGGCCTTGGTCCTCCTGCTCCTCTATCCACCTGCCCCACACCTAGTCAGTCATAATGAGCTGCACATCCAAACTCATCAAATCCATCCGTGTCTCCCGTCAGCACTGCCCTACCCCAGCTCATCTCTTGTCTGGACCATGAGGAGCAGCCAGCTCTCTCTCCTGGCTGCACAGCTGCCTGAGCACACCTGGCAAACACTGGTCTCCCGGTGGCGGCCTGTGCAGACCTGGGCAGTGCTGCCCGTGCTCCGTCACAGCGTGGGAGGCTTCTGTGAGCTGAGTCTTGTCTCTACAGCTTGGCCCCTTTCACTCACACATGACCAGCGGTACTCAACTCCTTCAGTTCCCAGAAGGCACAGTGCTTTCATGCGGGGACACTCCTTCCTCCTCCATTTGGCCAACTCCTGCTCAGCCTTCAAATCCCCGCTGGAATGTCCCAGAAAAGCCTTTGTTCACCTCCTTTGTAGCACATGTCATACATGACTTACTTTCTGGTTTCTCTCTCAAATCCATCCCCCTGAGGACAGTATGTGTCCTGTTGATGGCAGCATCCCAGCAGCTAGCAGAGTGGCTGACACATACCGACATGTGTACATAAACATGTGTAAACTCACTGGGCTCCTTTGATTGCACTTCTTTCTTTCTTTACCCCTCTTGGGTGATTATATCAATTTTTGTGCATAAATGTGATTTAAAAATAAATCACATATCTGCACGAAAATTATAAAAGAAAAATGTTGTGAAATGTCATGCTATTAACAGTTGCCAACCCGGCCTGGCCCCTCTGCTAACACACAGAAGAACGGAGCCCGCTGGCTCCTGAGCCAGAATCTGCAGGAGGCAGGAGGGGGCGTGCCTGTGTGTGTCTGACTGCCAGAAAGGTAATGAAGGTAAGACAGACTTAAGGTCCCTTCGACAGCCTGTAAAGTCAGCAACTTCACCTGAGAATCACGGACCTGCCCTAGGATTAAGAGTCCACAGAAGTCTGTGGGATTTTAATGGCACAGATAATAAAATAAAATTACGTCATTGGTTTCAGCCAGGGCTGACATCTTAAAACCAAGTAAAACAGCGATCTCTTTTTTAAAGGGGCAACCATGTATGTTATGGACAGCATTCTTTAAGGCACAGAATTAAAATATCCCCCCCAGGAGGGTGACAACGTGCGGTGGAGTGCAGGGTTTCTCCCCTGTATGCGCCCACAGGGGACCAGCCAGCCCCACACTGCCAGTTCTCTGAGCAGAGAGAGCATCTCTAGGCGATGTTTCCCCTTCCTCTAAAAGGACAGTGGATAGAGCGTCGGCTTGGGGACTGAAGGGTCCTGGGTTCGATTCCGGAAAAGGGCATGTACCTTGATTGCGGGCACATCCCCAGTGGGGGGTGTGCAGGAGGCAGCTGGTCGATGACTCTCTCATCGATGTTTCTAACTATCTCTCTTCCTTCCTCTCTGTAAAAAATCGATAAAATATATTTTTAAGAAAAAGAAGAAGAAGATACAGTATTTTCACAGAGTTCCCGCTCTGGCTGCTGGCTGCCGGATCCCGTGTGAACGGTCCCAGGGAACTAGAGGTTGGCTCACCCTCTGCTGCAGATGACCTCCAGGGCTTCCAGGTTCCCGTGGTAGGCGGCCAGGAGCGTGGGCGTCATGCCATCCTCGTCAGAGAAGTTCAGGTCTCTCCTGGTGGCCTCCTTCAGCAGCTCCAGGCAGCTGTCACTGGCGGCTTGGTGGTAGCGAGAGGACATGTTTCCTGCTCACCAGCGCCTGGCCAGGTGTCCTTCCGGCAGAGCAGGGTGCCGGCGGAGCAGCTTCCTCCAGAGCTGGTTAATCAGTGACCAGGAGAGTGTCACCAGGGCAAAGCTCATCCAGCCTCCCTCCTGGACCGCCGCCAGGAGCACGGATGGCACTGAACTTGGACCCTTTCTTTCCGGAACGCCATGCGTCAATACAGAGGACTGCTGCGTTCACCTGGAGTGTTTCGGGGACACATTTAATTTTTCATTTTCCACGAACTTATACCCAAGTCTTGAATATAATATTGGTTACCTAGGCTTAAAAGGTTGAAAATAATTGCCAAAAAATTCAGAACTAGTTTAGTTCCCTGGAGAGGTCTATTTTTAAAGCTGTTTTATTGAGGTTCAACTTACATCCTGTGAAACTCATCAATTTTAAGTAGACAATTCAATGATCATAAATTTACAGAATTGTGTAATCATCATCATATTCCAATTTTAGAACATGTACATCACCCCAAAACATCCCTCATGCTCACTTACACTCAGTCCTCATTCCTACTCCCAGCTCAGGCGGCCACCCATCTGTTAGTGTCCCTACAATCTTGCTTTTCATGGGAATTCCCTATAAATGGAATCATACAATATACAAGTTTTTTTTAAACATGTATTGACCTACATTTTTAGATTTTTAAAATACATTCTTTTTTTTCCAACTTTATTTTGTATTGGTATCAGTTGCACAGCTTAAATATTTAGACAATCATATACTTTACATAGTATTCCCATCAGTATTTCTAGTACCCCAATTGGTGCCATAGTTATTACAACATTATTGATTATATTCCCTATGTTTTATTTATATCTCCATGACTATTTGGTCACTACCAATTTGAACGTCTTAATCCCTTCACCTCTTTCACCCAGACCCCCGACGCCCCTCCCTTCTGACAACAACCAGTTCACTCTCTGTGTCCATGAATCTGCTGAAATTTTATTTATTTATTTTGTTCTTTATATTCCACATATAACTGAAACCATATGGTATTTGTCTTCCTCTGACTAACTTGTCTTACTGAGCTTAATGCCCTCTAGATCCATCCATACTGTTGTAAATGGTAAGATTTCCTTCTTTTTTTATGGCCAAGTAATAATCTAATATATATATATATATTAGATTTTATATATATATATAAACAACGTTTTATCCATTCATCTACTGATGGTCACTTAGGTTGCTTCCATACTTTGTCTATTATAAAAAATACTGCAATGAACATAAAGGTGCATATATTCTTTCCAATAAGTGTTTTTAGTTTCTTTGGACAAATCTCCATAAGTGGAATTGCTGGATCATAAGGCAGTTCCATTTTTAATTTTTTTAGGAAACTCCATACTGTCTTCCACAGTGGCTGCACCAGTCTGCATTCCCACCAACAGTGCATGAGGGTTCCCTTTTCTCCACATCCTCACCAGCACTTATCATTTGTGGATTTATTCATGTTAGCCATTCTGACAGGTGTGAGGTGATTTTAATTTGCATTATGGTTTTGATCTTATTGCAGTTTTAATTTGACATTGAGTATCTTTTTGTATGTCTAGTGGCCATCTGCATGTTCTCTTTGGAGAAGTATTTGCTCAGGTTCCTTGTCCATTTCTTAATTGGTTTGTTTGTTTGTTTGTTTGTTTGTTTGTTTTTGGTGTTGAATTGTAAGCATTCTTTATAAATTTTGCACATTAACCATTTATCAGATGTATCATTGCTGAATATGCTGTTTCATTTAGGCTATCTCTCACTTTGTTGTTGGTTTTCTTTGCTGTGCAAAAACATTTTAGTTTGCTGTAGTCCCATTCATTTATTTTATCATTTGTTTCCCTTGCCCAAGGAGACATATCAGAAAAAAATATTGCTATAAGAAATGTCCGAGATACTGCCTATGTTTTCTTTTAGGATTTTTATGGTTTTGAGTCTTACATTTAGGTTTTTAATTCACTTTTAGTTTATTCTTAAATATGGTGTGAAAAGGTGACCTAGTTTTATTTATTTTGCATGTATCTGTACAGTATTTCCAACACCGTTTATTGAGTACATCATCTTTACCCCATTCTATGTTCTTGCCTCCATTGTCAAATATCAATTGACCACATAGGTGTGGGTTTATTTCTGGTCTCTCTAGTCTGTTCCATTGGTCTATATGTCCTTTTTTATGCCAGTACCATGATGTTTTGATTACTATGTCCCTATAGTATAGTTTGATAACAGGTAGCAGAAAACCACCAACTTTATTCTTCTTTCTCAATACTGCTGAGCTATTCAGGGTTTTCTTATGGTTCCATATACATTTTTGGACTATTTCTAGTTCTGTGAAATACACCACTGGTTTTTTAAATATATATATATATATATTTTATTGATTTTTTGCAGAGAGGAAGGGAGAGGGAGAGAGAATTAGAAACATCAATGAGAGAGAAACATCAATCAGCTGTCTCCTGCACACCGCCTACTGGGTATGTGCATGCAATCAAAGTACATGCCCTTGACCGAATCAAACCTGGGACCCTTGGGTATAAAGGCTGATGCTCTATCCACTGAGCCAAAACAGTTAGAGCTATACCATTGGTATTTTTATAGAAATTGTGTTGACTCTATAGATTACCTTGGGTAATATGAACATATTAATGATATTAATTTTTTCTATCCATGAATATGGTATATTTGTATCTTCTATTTCTTTCTTCAGTGCCATACAATTTTCTGAGTATTTTCCCGGGTATTTTTTTTTTTTATAGAATTGTAAATGGAATTGTTTTCTTAATTTCCCTTTCTGATAGTTCATTATTGTTATATGAAAATGCAACCAATTTTGAATGTCAATTTTCTATCCTGCTACTTTACTGAATTCATTTATCCATTCTAGTAGTTTTTTGGTGGAGTTTCTATATATATTATAATGTCATCTGCAGATAATGAGAGTTTTATTTCTTCTTTTCCAATTTGAATGCCTTTTATTGTTTCTTCTTGTCTATTACTGTGGCTAGGACTTCCAGTACCATGTTGAATAAGAGTGGTGAAAGCAGACATCCCTGTCTTATATCAGATCTTAAGGGAAACATTTTTAGTTTTTCCCCATTGAGTATGAGGTTAGCTGTGGGTTTTTCATATATGACCTTTAAAATACTGAGTTATGCTGATAATTTTTATCATATATGGGTGCTGGATTTTGTCAAATGCTTTTTTTCATCTATTGATATGATCGTGTGATTTTATCCTTCATTTTGTTTATGTAGCATGTCACATTAATTGATTTTCAGATATTATATCAACCTTGCATCCCAGGAATAAATCCCACTTGATCATGGTGTATGACCTTTTTAATGTATTGCTGGATTCAGTTTGCTAATACTTAGTTGAGTATTTTTGCATCTACATTTATCAGGGATATTAGCCTATATATATATTTATTTCTTTGTATTGTCTTTATCTTTTTTTTTTTTTTTGGAATGAGCTTAGGGGTTCTCCCTAAACTTGAATTTTTTGGAATATTATGAGAAGGCTCTATTTTAGTTCTTCTTTGAATGTTTTGTAAATTTCATCTGTGAAGCCACCTAGTCCAGGACTTTTGTCTGCTGGGAGTGTTTTGAATACTGCTTTGATTGTAGTAATTGGTCTATCCACATATCTGATTCTTCCTCATTCTGTTATTGAAGATTGTGTCTCTTGGAATTTACCCATTTCATCCAGATTGCCTAATTTGTTGGCATAGTTGTTTATAATATAATCCTTTTCTTATAATCCTTTGTATCTATGATGCCATTATCACTTCCCTTTCATTTCTGATTTTTTTTCAAGTCCTCTCTCTTTTTTTCCTTTTTGAGCTTGGTTAAAGGTTTGCTAATCTTGTTTATCTTTTCAAATAATCAGCTCTTGTTTTTACTAATCTTTTGGGGGTTTTTTTGTCTCTATGTTCTTTATTTCCTCTCTAGTCTTTTAAAAAATATATTTTTAGTGATTTCATAGAGGAAGGGAGACGGAGAGAGATAGAAACATCAATGATGAGAGAGAATCACAGATAGGCTGCCTCTTGCACATCTGCTGGGGATTGAGCCTGCAATCTGGGCATATGCCCTGACCTGAAATCAAAACTGTGACCTCTTGGTTCATAGGTTGATGTTCAACCACTGAGCCATCCCATTGGGCTTCTCTAGTTTTTATTTCCTCATTTCTAATCACTTTGGGTTTTTTTATTTCTAGTTCCTTTAGGGGTAAGGTTAGATTGTTTATTTGAGATTTTTCTTGCTTCTTGAGATAGGTCTGCAATGCTATGAATTTATTTCTTAAGACTGCTATCACTGTGTCTCATATATTTTGAGTTGTTGTGTATTTGTCTCAAGGTAACTTTTTATTTCTTTTTCGGTTTCATTGTTAACCCATTCTTTGTTTAGTAGAATGTCATTTAGCCTTCATGTATTTGTGTGTTCATGTAATTGATTTCTTGTTTCATATAATTGTGGTCAGAGCAGACACTTGAAATGATTTCAATCTTCTTAAATTTATTAAGATTTGTGTCCTAACATGTGGTCTATCCTATAAAATGTTCCCTGTGCTCTTGAAAATAATGTGTATTCTGCTGCTTTAGGGTGAAATGCTGTGAAAATATGAATTAAAGCCATCTGGTATATGTGTTGTTTCAGACTACTATTTCCTGTTGCCCTTTGTTTGGAAGATTTATCTATTGATGTCAATGGTCTGTTAAAGTCTCCTACTCTGACTGTATTACTAATGATCTGTCCCTTTATGTTCATCAATATTTGCTTTATACATTTGAGTGTTCCTGTGTTGGGTACATAAATGTTTATAAGTATTATATCCACTTGTTGGATATATCCCTTTATCATTATGTAACAGCCTTCTTTGTTTCTTATTATAGACTTCATTTTAAGGTCTATTTTCTGTGATATAAGTGTTGCTACCTCAGCATTTTTTTTCATTTGCATTTGCATGATATGTTATT